AAAATCATGTAAAACATGTTCTTTTGTATCTGGCTATCTTTCACTTAAATTTCTGTATTTGAAAACTTGATGATGTTGCATTTATCCAAAAATGTGTTCTTTTTATTGCTGAGTAGTATTCTATTTTATTGGATATACCACCATTTATCTATTTATCTGCTGAGAATCATTTCACATAGCTTCTAGATTGGGCCAGAAAAATCGTGCTGCTGTACACAGAAAAGTCATATTATTAGATTATAAGGCAAATGTGTGTTAACATTATAAAAAACTGTCAGACCATTTCCAAGTGGCTGATAGGTTAGAATTTCTTCTCACAGCATATGAGTCTTTCAGTTGGTATGAATCCTCTCCAGTGATTGGAATTTTCAGTTGTTTTTTGGTGTTTTATTTAGACTTTTATAATAGCTATGTAATAGAATCTCACTGTGATTTTTAACTGTTTTCCATAATTACTAATCATATTGAACATCATTACATATGCTTATTTATCAGTTGTCTAATTCTTTGGTTAAATGTCTATTTACATCTTTTCCTTATTTCCTTAATAATATACGTTTGCAGTACATAATGACTACAGTCATCGTGAGTAGTTGGTACGTGTACATAACCCATCTTAACTGTATTTATGCCCCCTTCCTCTCCCCCTTTCCTCTCACTCTCCATCTTTTGGTCACTTTTCCTTTTGCAAAAGATCTATCTTCCTGATTTCTTCCATCTATCTTTAATTTGCTCTGTAATTTATGTACACTTTGGGTTTCTAATATAAGAGAAACCATGAAAATATTTAAGCTTCTGTGTCTGTCTGATTTATTTCACTTACCATTATGGTCTCAAGGTGCATCCATCTCCTACAAATGACTCAAACCTATCCTTTTTTATAGCAGAGTCGTATTCCATTGTATACAAATACCAAATTTTATTTATCCATTCATTTGTTGATGTACATATAGGCCACTTCTACAATTTAACTATTAAGAATTGTGCTGCTATAAGCATAAGTATGCACATATCACAAGGGCAATGACCAGAAGAAACAGTTCATGGGAGGCAGAAGGCACCAAACTACAACCACCGCCCTTTCTGTCCCTCACATCTTATCCAGGCTACTCACCCCTAGGGCAGGTAGCACTCACACCCTTAATCCCAGTGTCATGTCCTTGATCCCACCAGCACAAATTTGAGATCCAGCCACCTCTGAAAAGCTCCACCTATGACTGTCTGAGGCTTTGGGGAGACATCCAGCTATAAACTAGAATATATGACTAGAGTTCCTTTGTCAGATGTGCGATTTGGGAATATTTTCTCCCAATCTTTGATTTGTGTTTTCACTCTCTTAGCAGTGTTTTTCAAGGAGCAAAAATTTTAAAATTTGTTTAGATCTAGTTTATCTTTTTTTTATTGGTTGTGCTTTTCAAACTGTGTTTAAGAAGTCTTTGCCTAACTCACAGAAAATTTGTTTTCTTCAGAAAGTTTTATAAGTTTATTCTTTTCATTTAAGTTAATGATCTATTTGGAATTACTGTTTTATAAAGTGTAAACTATAAGTCATTATCTATCTATCTACCTGCCATCTTTGATCATCTATTTATGTATCTATCTATCTATATAACTATCCCTAAATATCTTTATATGGAGTTTCCAGTTGATCTAATATTTTAAATCTTTAATCTTCGTACCTTTGGCAGAAGTCAAGCAAACATACTGGCATTTGAGTTTATTATCAGACTCCTGTTTCAACAATTTATGTTTCTATCAATACTACACTTAGATTAGCGTAAGTCATAACATCTGATAATATAAATTCTCTAACTTGATTCTCCCCTTTCTAAATTGTTTTCATGATTTTAATTACTTTGTTTTCCATATAAATTTTTGAATCATTTTGGAACTATCTACAAAATATTTTGGTAGGTAGGATTTTGATTGGGATTTAGTTTTATGTATAAATCAGTTTAAGGTGAATTAGTTACTCTTTGAGTCTAGGAATATGGCATATATTTGCATTTATTGACACATGCACGCTTATGCTTGTTTGTGAATACATATGTTACTTTAAGTAAAGAAAAGCATCAGAAGAAAAACAGAGAGATCTCACCCTTGTGATGATCTTTCTTTGCATTTTGATTCCCTTGTTTGTCTCCCTACTACTTTTTACTTCGCATAGTCCTTGAGTGGCTGCTTTTTTATTCTTTTGAGAATTTTTAGTTGTAATTAGTAGGAGAACTAACCTGTAGTGGATTTCAACTTGTTTTAACACTGAAAATCAATGGACTTAATCTTGATTATCTTGTTGTGTGGGGATGGCCTGAATTGTGGAGCACCTAGAGTGGTTTATTTGGAAATTTTCAGCTGGAATATATAAACTATGAGTCAGCTTCTCAAAGGTGGGGTGGTTGAATGTAAAGGATGCATCAATACGAAGTTCAGAGGATTTATCTCAGGTCCAAGGGAGAGAGGTGACCAGCACTCTTTCCTTTTATGTCCAATAACATTTATTCTGATTCAGGAGCATCTGCCTTTCTTGACAGTGTCATGATATATAATTTTAAAATGAATGAAATGAAAATTGATATGACAGTTTGCAGAATCACCAGTGTGTCTGGGAGCATTTCTTATTAGGCAGTGCCTTGCTGATAAATAACAGGAATTAGCATGTAACACAGAATCTCACATTACCACTTATTTATCCCAAAAAAGAATATAATTTCATGTGTCTAAACACATCTCAGCTGAGTGATGGACTCCAGAACTGCCAAGCTGTACTGTCTCTTCTAAATCTCAAGACTTATTATCAAGGAAGTATAAGCAGCTCCGTTTTCTAACAGGGATAATAATCAAATTTTTCATTTTATCTCCAAGAAATGGAAATAACTAAACGTATTCTCTCAATCACAACAGACATATGCAAAACATGGACAAATTCAAAAAATACTTATTCAGTATTTCTTCTGTTTTCTGTTTAAATAATTCATGAATCTTCAAGGTTATTTGTTTTCGTTATAAATCAATATACTCTCCTAAGGACCACTCACCTAATTCTTTACTAAAGCAGAATGATACAGAAAAGTTCCAAGCACTGGCTAAAGTGAAGTATTGTAGTGAATTCTACTTACAATTATTTGATATGCCTTTAGCATAATAATATATCTTTTGTTAGAAGTTTATTTGTGAACGTAGAAAGTCATTTGGGCTTCTGAATGAGATCAAAATGCATGGATTTGCAAAACCATGAAAAATACTTCAATTTTTTTGCAGGTGATTTTATTTTTCTTATGAAAGCTATTCAATGTTATAGCATATAATGTCTTAAAAGTCATTCTTTTAAAATGACATAATGAAATTAGGCTGTGTAAATATCAGCCAAGGTTGGGAAAACTCAACACTTCATGGAGATTAAAAGTGCATGTTTCATATGCGAAATTATCCAGTTATGCACAGAAATCCAATAGACATTGTGACATTCATTGTTTCATTCATTATTTGTGCCCTGGGCACTGTGCTGGTCCTCTCACATGGCATAGATGATTAACACATGAGTATTATTTTTAAAACCACAAGTAGGGCATTGTGAATTAACTTTAAAATAAAATTTTAATTATCTTTTTCAAATGACTCTTTGGTACATAGTCATTCAAATGAAGGTGAGAACAATTACTTTGTACCCATAGGCCTCTAATGGATAAAATGTTACAATAAATATTTAAATGTTTTATTCACAATGTATTATACTCGTAGTTTGCAAATTTCATTTGAGTTGTATGTTTATTTCCCATAATTTTCTGATTAGATCAGGTCTCTATTAAAAGTACCATTTATAGTTATTCAAACTGCAGCAGAAGAGTCTTGCAAATACACAGTGTAGAAACAGAGTGGAGAAATAGAGTTCCAATTCCAACACCACGGCTCCTTTTTGACTACCACATGCCGATCCATAATTCTGGGATTAAACTTCCCATGACGTGTTGGCTGTGGTAATATTGTTTAGATAACGAGGAAGTGTCACATTCCCTGGGAAACCCACCTGGATTAAACTGATTAGGATTCTCATCTACAAGCTCTTGCAAATACTAGGATAATGAATTGACCACTTTGTAACAAATTATTTTAACTCTACATCCTCCACTAAAATGTAAATTTCCTGGGGCTGATTTTCTGGACTGCTCCAGTGGCACTGTCCCTGTGTGGAGGCCCCGTGAGTGACTCTTTCCTGTTCTCCAGGTGCATTAACCCAAGGATGCTGCAGGCCCTTCACAGACTCTCCTGAGCTTGGGGCGTTCTCCCAAGAGCCAGTGGTGTGGGTGCCTCATCTGATGACAGCACAATGTGAACTCTTTAGAGAATTTTCTTTACAGTTCCAGCTAAATACTTTGTACCCTGTTTTACTTCACTTGTAAAATATGGCATTATTGGATGCTGTTCTGCTCGTGTTTCCATGAGATGTTAATACATTTCCTAAGAGCATTTAATCTGTCTTCTTTACCATCTTTATTCAACTCCAAAATGGTGCCCATCACATACTAGATATAAATTAAACACTTGTTGAATGATGTATAAAGTCTTAGGATTGAGGTGCTAGTTACTTTTTTTTAGAAAACATGAAAATGATTATATAACTATTTTAAAGTGGCATTTATATCCCATCTAAAATAATCCTGTACATTCTGCTTTGAAAACACAAATTATTTATGGTTTAATTCTTAATACTGTTCTTCCTGGGAAACATATAATAAACTTCATGTGGATATATTTTCTGTATTCATAGTGCCTACCATGGTACATGTATGCACACAAAGAATGCTTAATAACAGTAGGTTTAATATATATAAATACCATATATTTATACTCTATATAAATGGTATATGTTTATAGTGTGTAGTGATATATATATTATATATTATAATAATCTTATATATATAAGATTATTAATGCTAAGGTGTTTGTCTATCCTTCAAGCCTGTTATAGCACAAAGTAACCATGTTTCTTTTCACATTCACAGGATTATACCTTGACAATGTACTTTCAACAAGCCTGGAGAGATAAGAGGCTATCCTATAATGTAATACCTTTAAACTTGACTTTGGACAACAGAGTGGCAGACCAGCTCTGGGTGCCAGATACCTACTTCCTGAATGATAAGAAGTCATTTGTGCACGGAGTGACTGTCAAAAACCGCATGATCCGCCTGCACCCAGATGGCACGGTCCTTTATGGCCTCAGGTCTGTAGTGCTCATTTTGAAATTTAACTTTTTCTGAACAAAACAGTTTCTGCTTTCTATTGGAAGGGAATATTTTGTGCTTTCCTTTATTCCTCCTGCAATTTTGCTGATAAAGAGTTAAGCCTCCTATCCTGCAGATATCCTGGAGCTTAGGATAGCATGTTTACAACTGGACCTAACATCAGCTAATACTCAGTGTTTTCCGAATTATCTTCCAGTATCAGCTGCTGACCCTAAAAGCTGCTTTCTTCAAGGAATACAGATAAACAATATGAAAATAGCTGAGAAATGGGGTTTCTGTAAAATGGAAAAAAATTACAAATGTCAGATAATTGTTCAAAAGTGGCCGATGCTGTTTATAAACTGCTCCTGAGCTGATTGAAGTGGGTCATAGTTCTCTGATGACAGGAAAGCTGATTGTGCCCTCTCACCCTCCCACGAGCAATCTGACTTGCGGATACATAAAGTAGTTATCTCATGTTTATCAACACAGAATTTAAATCTTAAAAATATATCTATGTCAATAAAAAATTACGCTGCGTTGGTTTTGGGGTGATGATAATTTGTAAAATAAGACAATTTTTTTCTTATTTTTTACTAAAAGCAATAGATGATTTCTGGGAAAAAAATTGAAGAACAGATACATATTTCATTCTGAAAATATTTCAGTATAGAGAATATCTCTGCATTACAGAAGCAATTTTGACACTCATAATTGCCTCTGATATATTCTGTTTTACATAAACATATGGTTACCTTATGATAATAATGACAATAACAATATTATTATTCATTAACAGAACAGTTGTTACGGATTAAACACTGAACTAAGTTCCTTGCATAAATTAGTATGCAACCCCCCGCTTCACCATCTGCAGTTTCATTTTCTTCACTTTCAGTTACCCAGGTTAACTGTGGTCTAAAAATATTAAATGGAAAATTCTAGAAATAAACTACAGGTTTTAAATTGTGCAATATCCTGAGTAGCATGATTAAATCTTAGCTGCTGTCTTATCCTGTTTTGTCTGGGATATGAATCACCCCTTTACTCAGTGTATCATCCACGCAGTTTACACTACTCAAACACTAGTGTTTAGTAGCCCTATTGGGTTTTGGGTAGGCTGATGTAGTAGACAGTACTTGCATTTATGTAATCTAATGCTTATTTTCTTAATGATGACCCCAGAGTACAAAGTTGTGATACTGGCAATTCAGATATGCCACAGAGAAGCTGCAGTGTTTTTACTTTAAGTGAATAGGTGAGTGTTCTTGACTTAATAAGGAAAGAGAAAACATCATATATTAAGATTGCTGAGATCTATAGTAAGAATGAAACTTTTAACTGTGAAATTGTGAAGGACAAAGAAATTAGTGTTACTATTACTGTCACATCTCAAAGTGCAAAATTTATACCCATAGTATGTGAAAAGTGCTCCATTAACACAGAAAAGGCATCAAATTGGGGGTAGATTGGGTATCTTCCTGAGCTAAAGGCATCATAGTAGATGAGAGATACACACTCATGTTTATAGTAGCACAATTCATAATAACTAAAATTTGGAAGGGGCCTACAGAACCATCAACAGATGAATAGATAAAGGAATAAAGAAAATGTGATATTTGTACACAATGGGGTACTATTATACTTTAAAGAAGGATACATTGGAGTCATATGTAAGAAAATGGATGGCACCTTGAAATCATAATGTTAAGTAAAATAAGTCAAACACACAAACAAATATTGCATGGTTTCTTTTATATGAGAGACTCAAATATAAATAAAAAGAATAAAAGCTTGATAAAAAGAAACAGGGAGATGGATCTTTTGCAAAAGGGAAAGAGACCAAGAAATAGAGGATGAGGGAAGGAGGAAGCATAGAGGATATAAAAAGAATAAAGATGTGTCATGTACATGTACCAACTCCCCACAATAAATGTACCCTTAGGTACTGCAAGCATGTACTATTAAAAGTGGTGGGTAGAAGACAAGAATAGAAATCATGTCTGACTGACTGCATTATGTTATGTTAAAAAAAATTGAGCCCATTGAAGACATTGGCAAGGTGACCCCTGTGACAGATAACACCAAGCCATTTGCTTCAACGAAGGGATGGTTACACAGATTTAGGAATAAGTTTGAACTGAACAAGTACAAAGAAACTATTAGAGAGGCTGTGGCTACTTCTGAAGAAGCTGCTGCCATATTTCTGGCAGAGTTGAAGAAGTTGGTTAAGGAGAAAGGATATCCTCTGACACAAGTCTTCAAGTGCAATTAATCTGATGACCAATAGAACCCACATTCAAAAAGCATAAATGAGGTGTCAGGGCCTAAAACATAGAACAGATTAGCCCTGGTTCTGTGTGACAACATTTCATGGTACAAGATAAAGTCAGGAGTCATATCCAGAATGAAGAATAAATTTGCTCTTCAAAAGTAAATTATCTGTGTTCTGAAGGCATAATCAGAAAGTGTAGGTAACAGCAATCTTGAATAGAATGGTTCCATTAATATTTCCTCTCAGAATTAAGAATGAATATTCTTGGAAAAGAAAGGGTTGAAGTGTGAAGATCTATAATAACAGACAGTGTGCCTGGCTATTCTAAATCTATTTAGTATAAAAATAAAAATGGCCAATGTGTATTTTCACCTCAAAATAAAAGCTCATTGCTTCAGTCCCTTGACTAGAGCATTTCTCCATTTGTCAAGGCCATATGTGCTCACCTGATGTTAATTGCATTTAATCATCACCAGATGCAGACCTTAATCTGGACATAATGTGGTAACGGAAATAAGTTGCTATTCCTGATAAAATAATTTTAATCAAAGCTACAATGGATGAATTAAAACCAGAAACTATAAAAGGCCCTCTGGAATAATTGAGGGGATGAAATCTTAAATTATTTTAAAGGTTCCCCAGGGACCAATGGAGAAGTTAGGAAAATCATTCACAGGACAAGGCAAAATAGTTGAGAAATCATTTTCAACATGTTTGGTGAAAACATGGAATGACATTTTGCAGGCCATCAAGAAATGTTAGCAAATAAGGATTTGGAAGAACTTGTTGAGTCATCTGCAGGGGAAAAGGAAGACAGAGACATCAACTTTTTATATGATAAGTTTTCCCAAAAGGTTTAGCAAAAAAAAAAAAATCTTCAACGATCAAGGATCACAAACCACTGACATCTCCACCTGACTTCCATCCATTGACATCATCATGGCTGGATGATTGATCTAGAAGAACCCAAGGCAGATGGTCCTTTGGTCTATCATCAAAAAGTCAATATTAGAATAATGTGATGTGATGTCACAATGCCTATGTCACTCACCTCACTTCATCTCATATGTAGACTCTCTGTCATCTCATGTCATCTTCAGAAGGGCAGATACAGTATAATATTTTGAAAAAGACCACATCACCTTAATTACATTGTTACAATTTTTCTATTTATTATTGTTGTCATTAATCTCTTACTATCCCGGAATTTATTAGTAAAACTTTATCATAGCTATGTTTGTGTAAGAAGAAAAAAATACAGTCTTTGTGATATTTGATACTATCCATGTTCAGGAAGTCATAGCCACGTGAATGCAGAGATGTTACTCTTCATTGTTCTGTATTGTTCTTAAGGCCCTGGAAAGATGGGAATAAAAAATAGTAGGACCCACCTAAGAGAACCTAGGAAGAAAGGAGATAAGAAAGGCTAGATGGAAACAGTTTTCATTAAATCTCAAGATATAGACTTTCTTCTTCAATGATAAAATAAAGCATTAATACCACCAGGTGAGACTGCCATGGAAGATGCAGCCTTAGGTCCTGTGGTTCACATCAGTTCCAGTTTGCTAAAAAATGACTTTTCTTGTGCAGGCTCCTAGCACACACACTAGGGCATTGGAAAGAACTCAGTAGTGCCAAAGTTCATTAGTCTGTGTAATCCAGATTGAAAGGCAATCATCCAGCAGAGATGTGAAAGGCTGGGACAAGAAAATCTTCAAATATCAAGACAGTGTGGCCAAGAAATTGGGTAGGATGAAGCCTTTGCAATTGATGTTTTCTGAGTTCAGAGCAGAAGCTGAGGCTGTCACCTCGTATCTCACTACCCCACCGAGCCTCACAAAAATGGATGGGGAAAGAGGAGGGAGAGACAGCCACTCGCAGGATCTGAGCAAGATTCTTTCATCAAGCTTTGTCGATGAAATTTTCAAATATTAAAACACAATAAAGATAGAGAAGACACGATGACAAAATATTAATTCTTGTTGAATTTGATGGTGAGTATGGAGGGGCTCTTGTGTTATTTTTTTCAACTTGTCTGCATGTTTGAAAATGTCATTATAAGACGTGGAAAAGAAAAAAATGTTATGTTTCAGAAGCCTACAAACTTCTGATTCGGTTCCCTAGGAAATATAACTCAAGATTTTAGATGTCTGTAGCCACAGCATGGTACTTTTAATGTCTCTGACGTGGAGAATCATCTTTACACACGTCTGCTTTGAGTGGTTGTGTCTGAGGATGGAGGTGTCACATTGCAGAGGATGTATGGCATAAGAGCTGGCACCCACGGCCACAGACTCCCAGGCTAAGCCATAATCCAGAGAAGCAAAGCCAGTGCCCTTTTGCTAATGTCTTCCTAATTCTTTACAAAATTTTCTTTCTCCAAGAGCATACCCATTGTTTCTGATTGTACATGAGTTCTGGGTCTGCTCATGGTGATAGATTGCTGTGGGTTAGCCAGAATCTTCAGTGTAACACACTAGCTGCTCAGCGGCAAGCTTGTATTAAGGAACAGTGACTTTGAAGAGTTCAGAGGAGCTCAGAGTTGGAGTTTTAGAAATGTGGAGAATATTATAGGCCTTGCCACGTACAGTCAAAGTTCTGACAGTTATCATCCTGATTGGATCTGTTTTCTTATTTCCAAAAGCACAGCATTCCAGCTTACTCTCACTTATTGTATTCTTTAACTTGATAAGCATTTTAAATGCTCAGGGAACAGAGTTCTCA